TATTTAGAATATTAATTGAATTATTCTTTTTATCTTTTAATTACAGTTTATAAATACTTTATATATTATCGAATTTTAATAAAGGGCTATTAAATTCTATATTAAGATAATAATATCTAAAATATATTTAAAAAATCTATTTAATTTACTAGTTTTATATTTTTTCCCAAAATATATATTATAGCCTAAAAAAAGCTTTATTCTTTTAGAAATAAAAGCGGCTAGATATAGGTTCTAATAAGTTTTCTTTTTAGTAAAATATATTAGTATTAAATAAAATAATAAAATCTGGCTCTTTAATTAATAGATATATATCTATTACTAATACCCCCCGTTCGTTAATACGAGCAATTAATTAATCGCCCTCCCGATTGATTAATTATAGCGCCCGATTAATTAATGGGGGGGGGATTACGATTCGGGCTCTACAGTGGGTCCCGATTAATTAATCGGGACCCCAATTGCCCAATCGGGTAATATTAAGGTTTCGGGAATGGCAAAAGCAGTATATATTAGTATACTTCACCCAAATCAAGCTTTATTATATATGCCTCCCACTTTATCTAGATGCTTTCATAGCTACCCTAGCCCTTTTTGGTACCCTTATACCCACTTGTTTACCTAATTCCCCTTCTCTAGCTCCATCCTTACGTACTTGCTTAATAGCTACTCTCTTCTTTGCTCTCTCAGATACCCTTCCAGCCTTCTGAACTAACGAAATTAAACCCCGATTATTCTCCTTTGCCACTGCTTTAGGGAGGGTAATTTTGTCTTTCTTATAGGCCATACTAGTAATAGGCAAATTAGGATAAGTTAATTATAAAGCAACTTTATTAAGAGTATTATACGGCCAGAGGGTTATAAGCTCACTATACTTAGTAGTTAACCAGTAGCCCTGTTTTTAATTAGCTTTAGCCAAAAGTATATCCTTATAAGTTATATACCTTTAAAGTCTTTTCCAGAACTCTCACTGGAATCCGAGCTATTTTTATACTAAATCAATATTGCTTTGGGATCTATAGAGTTACAATCTCCTGAATATTATATTCAAGAGCTTTAGTACTAGCCCTTTTTACTATCTTCTCTTACTATTTCTTCATATGCTCTGCAATCCTCTTAGTTAGTTCAGATAAAATTATCTCCTCTACTGCTTCCTCCTATTCTGCTTCCTTATTAACAAATAAGCTATCCTCTCTATTCTCTTCTTCTCCTTGAACCTTAATAGTAGATGATTATTCAGAAGCACTACTCTTATTAATATCGATTTCCCTCTCTCCTAAGGCTATATGTATACGGCAAGCACTCTCCTTATAATTCAGGAAATCAGTAGGTAGCTTTCGTCCAAACCAGACCTCATACGGCGTATTACCTTTAGAAAGGGCAGATATAGCCATAGTATTAATTACCTATATAATTAAAGGAAGTAATTATATCCAAGATTAGATACTAGTATCCGCTCGTATGGCCTGCAGTCGTTTCTTAAAGATTCGATTAGTAACCTTAATAGAGCCCTGAGATTAGGGATAATAAGCTCGTCCGCGAATAATCTTTATCCCTCTCTTCTTATAAACCTTAATTACTTTCCCCTTAAACTCGCCCCTATTATTACAGGCTAGAATGGCAATATATCCATTATTATTTAGCCATTTAATAAGCTTATCCGCAGCTTCGTCCGCAGTCTTAGCCTTAAGCCTACGGATCCAAACGAACTTGGAAAAATGGCATTTTAATTACCAGATCCACGTATATTCTCTATCCGGATTATACTATAATAATATTAGTAAGTGATATAGATAAAAATCGTAATTTTTATGATTTTCGCGAAAATTGCGAAAATCGCAGAAAAAGCTCAAAAATACAGGAAATGCAGGAAATACAGGAAAGGCTAAAATAGGGGTAAATTATATGACTTAGGGAATACTTATACGGAAATCCATTAAATCCAGAACCATATACTAGCCAGGATAATGAGATTAAATAGGTATTACTCCTGTATTATTCTTTTGAGCCTTTTCCTTATTGCAATAAGTATAATAGGCACTTATCCAAGCGTAATCGTTACGGGATAGGCCATGCCAAAGTCGTCTTATATATTTAAATACAGTATCAGAAGCTATTATATAATTAGTATAAAAATTAGTAGCTTTAAGAGAATACTTACCTATATATATTAATTTCTTATAAATAGTAGTCAAAATCTCAAAGGCATTATTATAGTAAAGAATATACCGGGCTAGAAGGATCTCATTACGGCGAGTATCATAGTACTCCTTATAATATACTTGATTATCCTAAAGCTCATATAAGTGGGATTCGTACTTAATATTAGCCTGGTAGCGCTTCTCTGCCTTAGTTCCACCAGGAAGCGGAGTATTAGGATTTTGAAGCTACTATCTAATATCCATATGTTTCCTAGTAATAAGAATTTTCCTACTACCCCCCTTAGCAAGCCTCTGATTCCATATAGCTTCGTCTTCGGCAGACCAATTATTAGTAGGCTCTTTAGTAATTGGGAAGGGCAAAAACTGGATACTAGACAAACGAGCTCCTGGAGCAGTAATATTAAAATATTACTCTGCTCACCCATAAATATGCTAACGAGGCATATACGGGATTAGGAATAAACGAAGGGTTAAAAGAGACATATTAGAAGTAAGGTAATTAATTAATTAAGAGGTATAAAAATTAGTAGTTATGCTTAGTAAATTAGTGCTTATAGTACTTGTAATATAAACTATATCTAGAAAATAAGGGAGTAAAGGCCCCATATATATCTAGAAGCTCTAGAGAAGTGTCTTTACCCCTATTATTACTTCCCTTAATACCTAGAAAAAAATTAAATAAACTATATAATACTATAGATATAGCATAAATAAGTGAGATATAAGCGAAATAAGAAAATTAGACTTAAGGATATACTTAGTATTAAATATTAGAAATCTATATTATAGTATAAAGAGTAAGGCTTAAGTAAAGTAAAGAATATAGAATTGAGAATATATTTAGTATGAACTAGTAAGTAAAAGCTTTTAGCTCCCTTAGCCCCATTAGCCCCGAAACCCCAATATTATGCGATTAATTAATCGGGACATTAATTAATTAATCAGGACCCACTATAGAGCCCGAATCATAATCCCCCCCCTATTAATTAATCGGGCGCTATGATTAATTAATCGGGAGGGCAATTGATTAATGGGAGGGGGCAATTAATTAATCGCTCGTATTAACGAACGGGGGGGAACATTACTAGTTTAAATATTATAATAAGTAAATTGTTTTTAAGGAATCTAATATCTTAGAAAATACTAATATTATCTATTTCTTTAAAAAAGAAAAATCTGTATTATAATTAGCTATTTATTTAAAAAAGAAATCAGGATATATATCCAGATACTATAAATATAGCTTTAATATTTTATATATATTAATAGAGAATAATAACTATAGGTTAATTTCTTATATTTTCTAAAGCTTTATATTACTATAGCCGTTTTTAGATTATATAATATAATATCCTTAATTATTATTTCGAATTTCTATTCTATTATAATTAATAAATATATAATATAATAGCTTATAAATTATAGCTATAAGAAATATAACTTTTATTTCTATTAAAGTTATATATAAATTATCCAGAATCCGATACTTTCCGAATACCTCTTTTATAGCGGCTTTAATATATATTATAAAATAGAGCCTATTAAAGAAAAATAATAATAGCCAGAAAATAAAAAAAAATTCCTAAGTTTTTCTAATTTATAAATATAAAATTTATAAATCTTTTAAAATTCTAAAGGGACTTTTTAGCTATTTATTTCTTTATAAATAATCGGGTAATATCCAAATTACTTTTAAAGGAATTAGCTAAAGCTCTCGAGGCTTTTTTATATTATATATTTGAATTAATTCCAATAATAACCTTAAAGAATCTCTATAGCCGAATTAATAATCTAATATAATTCTTTATTTTCTTTATTTTCTTTATATTTTTTAAAGATAGAATATCTTATATTTCTTTTCTATTAATATATAGAATTTCTTTTATTTTAATAATAGAAGAATAAACTATTATAACTATTTCCTTAAATATCTCTTTCTTATAAAAGAAACAATTATAGATTTTTCAAAATCGAAGAATTATCTTTGAAATTATCTCCGAATAATATCTATTTCTATATACCGAAATATATCCTATAATAAAATAAAATATAAATACTTCGAATTCAAATAACTAAAAATTTATAAATATATAAAAATTTCTATTTATTTTTATTTTAGTTATATTATATATCTTTTCCGAATATATCTAATCTATTAATTCCGAAAATTATTCCCGTATTATTAGTATTCTTTTAAATTTATATATATTCTCTTTTAATATTATAATAAATCCTTTAACTAGTAATACTATTATTAAGCTTTTTCCACCTTTTAAACTCATAAAACGATTAGATATAGATATCTAGGTTTTATTATAATACTAAAACATTATTCTTAGTCTTATAGCAGCCAGAGTATATTATATTATATGCCGTTACTATATGGGCTAATACTTCTTCTAATTAAGCGATCAAGGATCCTGGTTAGCAGCGGTGTGATTATAGTAATTTCGGTAAAATTATAGATACTATAATAAAATCTGTGGCTACAACGTTTGTGGCTGCATATACTGTACCTTGCTGGAAAATTCCTGTTTCCCGATATCCTCCCGGTTAAGTTAGAGCAACAAGTGGCCCTGTATACAGCCAACAAAATCGGCCATCCGCTTCCTGGGGAAATTCTTCTGTGTGACAAACTTCCGACTTTTCACTTCCGGCTTTCACTTCTTCTCTCTTTGCGCTATACCTAATCTTATAATAACGTCTGTCCCTGCATGCCGAAAAGCAGTTGAAGATTGGAGAGAAGAAGTAATAATTTTATTAACTGTCTATGGCGGTACAGTAAAATTCGAAATCGGCTTCAGTTCGTTTTTTTAATTTTTTTTTATTACATCCTTACTCTATTTAGCTGCTTATGTCAGCGCTATGCAGAGAGCTCTACGTACAGTTCAAGGCCCATGGATCCTCCAGTCCTCTCCCCCTTTCTGATAATTGAAATAACAAATGAAAACTTTTGTTTAACTCTAGGAAAACAATCTGTCCACTACTAAACTAGAGGTCCACTGCCCATTCTTGTGTGTTATCGTTGCATACCCTGGCTCGTTGCCCTTCCTATACCATAGTACCAGGCCCTCACCCTGGCTGTCTTGTTGCTTCTTGTTGAGTAGTCTGTCCTACCCGTCTTGTGGCTATGGGTTGTATTTTGAAGTTGTGAAGTTGAGGTGCTACCTAGCCCCTGCTGAGCTGGTCGAGGAGTCTTGTGCTCTCCATGAATGCAACTGCTTTCCTTGCTAGCTTTGAATCACTTAGCAGGGCTGGCACATTCCAAATAGTTGGTTGGCCAAGGTACGTCCGTCTTTGTGCTCCAAATTGGAAGCAATCACCAAGTATATGAGAGACCGTCTCGTTTGATCTCTGGCACTGACACACGGCTGAGTCTGCCGCTTTGATCTTTTTCAAGTATGCTCCGAGCCTAATCTTTCCCGACCTCATTTGCACTAGAACTGCCGCTTCTGGTTTTGTGAGTCCTTGATATAGCCGAGCCCCCTTCTTCTGCGACTGTATTTCTGATCCGAAATGAGATCTATATTGGTGTCCTGTTGTCTGTTTGGCCCAAGTGATATTCCATCTGTAAAGGATTGCCTCTTTGACTATTCTCTTGCACGAGGAGAGCAGTTGTTGTACCCATTTTGACTTAGGCGCTCTCTGCCCTATTTGGCCTTTAGCTCGCCATCCTGTGGCCTGCTTGGCTATGAGATCTGCTCTTTCGTTTCCTGGTACTCCTGTGTGGGCCGGGATCCAGCAGATCTCTATGGATACCCCTCGCTTTTGAAGGACACCGATAAAATGGATGATCTGTCTAAGGATCAGTTGCCCCGACTGTCCTCCGGGGCTGTGAACCGATTGTATAGCGGCTTGGTTGTCCACGAATAGTGTGACCGTCTTCACTCCCTTTGCTGTCACTGCTGTGATTGTGGAGTATAGTATTGGCTTCAGTTCGGAACACTCAATGATTGAACTTTGGACCCACATTTTATATACGCTAACTATTACGGCTAGCCCATTTCCCGACCATGTATTCGGTTAACTCCCTGTTCGGTATGTCCCGTAAGATTCTGCGTGGAATTAGCCGATATCGGCGGAGTTGCCTTAATTGAGAATGTAAATACGAACGGGGAGTGCCTGTTTGCTTAATCGAAATCGATGCCAGTCCGAACACTCAACTATTTTATGTTTGGCCCATCTCTTTTTTGCGTTGGCACTATTATGGCCAGTTATCTTTTGGACCTTGCTGCCTGAGGACGGCAGGCATCGGACAAAAACTTTCCTCCAGGCCGACACCGATTTCCTATTTGGGACACCGGGGGAAAAGTTGTTAACGACGAAGCATAAACAGAGTCTCGTTACCAAATACTATACCTTAACAGCAGACCACAATTTTATAAGAGTGGCCTCTCTTATCAATTTCGATAATATTAGAAGTCTATAAATCACTTCTCGTTATATCAACTCCTATCCTATCGAATTAAGGATATCCTAAGTATATTAGGAGAATATAAAACTCAGAGAACTTCCGTTTCTGAATTGCTTAAATACAAGATCAGTTATAATAGCAATGGAGCGTTGTAATAATATTCCCCTATTGGATTAAAGGAATTAGCAATTATACTGAGCTACTACTTTCCCGAAGAAAAGAATATAAAGGAGAAGATAAGGGCCGCTATTAAGGGATTTCTAAGAGATTAGTATAAAATCATTAATAATATTCTTAAGGATAAAGTTGAGAACAAATCTCGTTAATTAGTCGAAACAGGTATTTAGTATATAGTCGCAATATAATAGAAGGCATCAAACTATTCCGATTTATAAGTCTTTACTTGGAATCCTTTTGGGGAAACCTTTAAAAGCAATCAAGGACGGATAAAGTGCCGATACGGTAAGATAGAAACTACCAAAGTATCTGCAAATAGAGGAAATATTTGTAAATATTATCGGAAGAATAAATCAAAGATAAGTCTGTTTCCCTTTTGAGCATAAGATACTAATCAAGTAAGTGCGATTCTGATTTATGCCCTAATAATAAGCTGCGATTTCAGAGCCTTCCGAAATCTAGAGAAAATATTACCGAACTAATTATCCCATCTAACGATTTTTCCTTTGAGAAAGACTTCTAGGGAAATTTCAGGTTATCGATATCCAACTCATCGAATACTGCTCAGTATATCGATCAATATTCCGAGGATGGTTCTGTATATTCCTTATAGAACTATATGGAATTAGTTACGAAACCTGATCTTGCTATTCCAAACAGTGGCTTTTCTGAATGGAATCCAGAGTCCAGTACGTTACGGGCTGGGGAGACGAATCAGCAGCCTACTGTGGCTACATGCGCGATTGAGCTTGACTTCGACTTCACGCTGCCAGGAATGATTGTTGAGGACCTGGAGCACAACACAATATTCGGTAGGCAGGAGCTGTTTATTCGGAACCACGAAAATCATATTGCAGACTTGATAAGAGCCAATAACGACCTCGAACAGGAGATTGCTGCTCTGGAAACGTCCTGGCTTGATATCAGTGAAAGCCACAGCTTTTCGGGTGGAGTTGCAGCCGGATCATCGCTATGGGCCATCTCAGCTCTCATTACCATCGGAGCTACAGTCCTGTTCCCTCATAAAGCAGTTGCTGCCAATCTCCAGCAAAGGGCTGAGATTCAAGGAAAGTTTTCAAACGCCCAAAGTGCTTTTGAAAAAGGACGTACTGAGCTTGAGACGGCTAAAAAAGAACTTGAATGCTTGCAAGCAGCTAGGGATCTCGAAGCAGATCTCCCGTCATTACAGTACGAAGTTGATAAAGAGCTTGATTTGGCCTTTCAGAGCATGTCGTTATAAGTAGGCAGGCTGTTTCCAAATTGTTTTGGTCTTTATCTTATACTTATTATAATCGGGGTGATTTTTGCTATTGAGGGCAACTATATAGACTAAGTAAATTTTAGTTCTTGCTGGAGGGCTCTTTGTATATAGGTAGAAATCTTCTTCAAACCGAACTTCCACCCACGTAATCCCCGAGCTTATTTACTTTCCTATTGGAAAATCTTAAGCAAGATGGGGTGTGAATACTTGTTGAATTGGTACTAGCTTACTAGTTCTTCCAGTACCAGGTTCAACTACTAATATTAGCTTCGCCACTCTCATTTATAATGGTTTACTATGGAAGCCTATGGAATAGCTCACTATGGAAGCTCAGGGAACGTTTACTAATTAATATATATGAGTTATCTGATTTATAATATACTGGAGGAAATCGCCACCCACTAGTAGATATATAAGAACTGTACTTTAGATTCCCTCCTCTCCTTTTTTTTACTCTTTACTCTCCTGTATCTAGTCATTTTACAGATTATCAACCTCCAATATATCGATTTATCACTAATATATCAATCACTTTCCAATAATTCTTATCAGGCATATGGAGGAGATATTTGGAGCACCAATTACTTTGGAGGGTCCAGTATCCTATAGTATGTAAAGCAGCTTGTCTGAATGTCAGCCTTAAACGGCTGGTGGTGGTGGCTTCACCAAAACTGGCTGTCAGCTGAAACTGGTTGTCAGCTGGAAGATGAGGTGTGGCGCTCAATTGTGGCTCACTGACTGGCTCTGTCCATATTATCCTGCCGTTGCGATGGTGGGAGACGAGTGACGACGTTCCAGCGCCCAGGCACCAGCGTGCTACCACCTGCCGATAGAAATGTTCGAGAAACCTGCTCTTACGCCACACGCGTGACCACTATACGCTACACACGTGATTAGGCCTGAGAATCGTGGCTAAGAAAAATATAGCGAGCCCGGGCGTGAACATAGTATATTTTAACTCGGTTAATACACATTACTAAATACCGAAACATGTGGCCCCTCTTCTTGTAATAGTATAACTCCCGGATTGTATTCTTTTCCTCTCTAAATATCTTTAAAACTTAGGGCTATATTATTTCATAATAAGACCTTTCTTTAAGTATTCCGAATTATAAAAAGACTTTAATAGTTATAATTAAATAAAGGGGGATAGCCGAAATAGCAATTAGTAATATAAATAAAACAATTAATAATATAATTAATTATAATTTTTTCTTTATTACTAAATAATCTCTTTAGGAAAAAATAGTTAAAAAAAAGCAATATATTAATAAGAACTTTATAGACTTAATAAGAAAAAATTTATAATTCCAAAACTAGAGATTTGTTTTATAATATAATATATTTCGGAATATAAAAATAGATATTATTATAATACAGTTTTTATAATTAATATATCTGTATTTCAGGCCATATTACAATTTGTATTATAGGTAAAAATAACAGATACTACTATTATAAATACTATACTAGCGGCCTATAAAATACCAAAAAGTATTTCTATAGATATTTATTAAAGTTTTACTATTATAGGCTAATTAATTAAAAAGTTCTTATAACCGGTTTTTAATTCCGTTTATAAATCTACTAAAAAGAACTATTATATCTGGAAATTCTTTAAATACTATTGTTCTAGATCTATTTATTTAATAAAGGATATCTTTATATAAGGTTCGAAAAACTAACCTGGAATTAAATACTAGAATATAATTAGATTTTATATATTTGAAAATAAACGGCTATTATTTACTATAATATTATAAAAGATAACTATCTAGAAAGAAACTTAATATAATAACTGGAATTATAAATTCTATTAATTCTTTTACTAATTTTATATATTTTAGAAAATTAAATATATATTTAGCTAAGTTTTCTATAATAGAATTCTATTTCTTTAAAACTTTAATAAAATCGAATAGCTTTATAAAGGATTAAAAGAAGTAATTATAAGTATATTAGAAAAGAATAGAAAAATATATTATAGAAAATAATAAATAAGTTTTTATTTTATTCTTTTATATTTTATCTAATCTATTTAAAAAACACTTTTTAAAGCATTTATATCGGGCCTTAAAAGAGATCTTTTAAGCCGGAAAAAGAATAATAACATAGATATCCGAAATCTATTTATATAGATTACGGGATATTTCCTTTTTTAATAAATAAAAAGAGACCTTTTTAATTTTCTTTTTTTATTCGATTCCAGGTATAGTTTTCTTTATTATTATAACTATTTAAGAATATATTTGTTTTAATAGTATTAATAGCTAGACTCTTTTAAATCATATAACTAAATGGTATATAATCTATTTAAAACTACTAATATTAGTAAAAAAGAAATAAAAAACATCTATAAAAAGTAAAAGAAAATAGAAATAGATCTTATTAATACTTCTATTTAAAATATTATAGAGTAGCCTTTTTCTAATTTTAGAAAGAGTTTATTTTATTATTTTATAATAATTATTTGTTATAAATATTCTTTTTTTCAAGTTCTATTAAGGGAGATTACTATTTATAAAAAATAGTAAATAGGTTAAAATAGAGATATATTTTACTAATATTTTATTTGCTTTTAAATTTCTGACTTTTTTTTATTCCGAATAGTTTTCGAAGAGTCTATAACTTGAACCCATTACTAATTAAAATAAAAAGACTAGGCTATTATATATTCGGATTTTGAATTTAATAAATAAAGGTCTAAAACTTATTGGATTTCAAAAGATATATATTATTACTATATATATTAAAGCTGAGCCAATAGCTATAATTATAATACTTTATAATAGAAGAAGCAGCCAGCTATTATAAAATAAAAATATTATACTTTTAGTTATAATAAGAAATATACGAAGTTATATAATATAAATCCAAGAAAAGAGAGAAAGAGATTAAAACCGGCTTTTATAAAATCGGTATTTCTATTAAATTCCTATTTATTTTAAGAAATATAGAAGCTATAATAAAACCTCTTTTAATAGAAGCTGTAATAGATATATAAAGGAGAGCCTGATTTGATTCCTTAATTTAGATTAAATAATATATATAATAAAAGTATTAAATCTATATATATTATTTTATAAAATATATAATTATAACTTTATTAAAAATATTATATTTAGAATAGATAATAAAGAATAACCTTATTAAAACTTCTATTATTTTATATTTTTTTTAATTCTATTAATTAATAAATTTCGGAATATATCTATTCTTTTTATAGTAAATATTATTTATTAAGATATTATAAGTTTTATTTATTTATACTAAAATAAGCCCCTAAATCTAATATCTGCTTATAGCCAAAATATATAAAAGCTATTAATAAGATTCTATTATATTTACTATATTAATCTATTATATATAAGATTTATTATTATTATTATTCTAATACGGAATTGAAAGAATTATTACTAAATTATATTATTACGAAATTATATTATTAAAATATAACTTCCGAATAATATATTTTACTAGATAAGATATAATTTACAAGATCTCTCTTTTATAAAAAAGGAATTCTTTCTAATAAATACTAGTTCTGGATTAAAAGAATTCCTTTTAAATTATATGGCTATTAAACTATTTAATAAAAGTTTTCTAATTAAACCCGTAAAAGTACCGAATAATAGAATTTGTTTAAAAAAATAATCTTTTAAAAAACTCTCTCCTATATTAGAGAAATTACTACCTCTAGTAAATTTCCAGAATAAACTAGTATTATAAAAAAAAAGGAAATATTATAAGAATTAAATAGATAGATAATATATAAATATTGAAATATATATTTATTATAAAATATCTTTCTCTAATAATTCTATTATTACCTGATTTATTCAAATACTATAATATATAATAAACTTAATAATAAAAAACTATATAAAACTCCTCTAGGCTTAGAAATATATTCTCTATTCTATTATTTAATTATATCTTTAATATAATTTAATACTTTAATAATTATCTATTTATAAAGTTAAGAATTTCCTTTAATATTTTAATATATTAAATCTAAATAGTATTAGTCTCTATTATATGATTTCTATAAATTTTAAGTTTTAATTCAACTAATTTATTTATTTTTAGTAATTATAGAATATTATTTCCGAAAAGTTCTAATAATATTAAAGCTATTATATAAATTTATTTATTAGAAAAGGTTAATCTATATTTAAATAATAAAACTATTAAAATATATATATCTATAACTTATTTTATTCTTTTATATTTAATTTATATATGCCTTTTTAAAGATAATTCTATTAAATAATAATAGTTCTAATAAAAAAAATATAATTTTTATTACCTGTTTATTAAACTTATCTTTATTCGATATCTAGTTTTCGGAAAGTAATTCTTTAAATAATATATATCTTTTTATTCTCTTTAATCTTCTCCTCTCTTTTTTCTTATTAAGTTTCTTAATATTTTTAGGGAGCTTATTCTGGGATTTGGGATATATAAACTAATAATTATTAAAGGAAATAATATAATATAGAAATAATAAAAACATATAATATTTTTTATATTCGGCTATTATAAATTACTAGATTTAAAAGTATAATATTCTCCCGATTTGCAATTATATATAATTAATAATATATTAAAATTATAAAACTCTATTATTTCTATAATTTTAAATTCTATAATTTGTCTTTTTTTTTCTATTATATATTCCGGTTTTTAAACAAATATTATTTAATTATATAAAAAGCTATAATAGCAAATTAATTATTAAAAAAGCTTTTATTTTTTATATTAATAAGGTTAAAATTTTATATTAATATAAAATCCCTGTTTTAGAAATATTTATTTATCTTAGCTAGAATTTAAAAGAGCTAGTTCCGGTTTTTTAGGCTTTTTTTTAATATTTTTAATATAATATATTTTCGATTATAATTTGTTTTATATATATTTAATATAAAATATAAAAGGAAACTCGAAAATCTTACTAATTTACTCTTTTTTATTATAGA